CTCTGCTACTAGATTGTGCCCATTCCCTGTATCAAACACTTAGTGCTGGCACACATTGTCTTGGACAGAGGCAGAACTACGCTTTTAGACCAAAAGCCTTTTCGACACGCACACTTTAGGCTTTGGTGCCGTCCATAAACTCAATAAATGTCATTTTCCCTAAAATCTTGTGCTTGCACACACAATCACTTCCAACGCTCTCCAAGACACCTTTGGAGACTGTTGGAGGCCCTCTGTTTCTGCGCTCTTTTCCCACCAGAGATCTCTTTCCACCAATCAGGCTGTAGGCAAAAAGACGCACGTGACACACAAAAAAACACCTCATCCTCTCGCAGTCTTTGCCCCATTCCGCGGTCTCCAGACCGCCCCACATCTGCCCATCCGTCCTCTGAGATCTCCGTGGCCACTACAAGCCTCGCGGTTCTAGCCCAATAAGTCTCCAGCTAAAACACATACTCATTATCATTAAGGAGCCAAACGAGGATATGCATATGAATATAAATAAAAAAATTAAATATAGGGTATAAATATAAATGTAGCCCAGAAATAAAGCAAACTGTTTCTCGAAACTTTCCTCCGCGTGGGCAAAACTCTTTTCACGTACATTCAGACGAATCGGTCAGGCTTATGACGCCGTCTGATCACGAGATTTTCGCGAAGGGCTGACGAGAATTAGGGGGAACTCGACCTCGATTCTAAGCATCATCCTCTTCTCTAAAAGACGACTGATTTGGAATTTGACTTTGTTTTGTTTTGCGTTCAGTAGATGCTCCATGCCAGTGCCGGCCACATCCAAGTGTTGGAGTTAGTCACGTTGAGAGTCCGTTCGTTAGTAAAGAGAGAAAGAGAGATTAGGTCATCTAGTTGCTAGGCGTTTTAGCCAGTCAGCCTCAGCTTGGTTACGCAAGTAATAAGCCTCGAAAGGCATTCAAATTTTTATTCAAATTAACTGGGCAAGCACATTTCTTCTCCAGTTTAACGTAAGCTTTGTCAGCAAGAGGAGAATTGTTCACACTTGCTATTGCAAGTGTTCATTTTGTCACAGCTCTCAATCATACCCCACATTTCATCAATCGTAATGAGGCTTGCTTCTCTCGGCTATGTTGCATCAAACTATCCACTCTTGTTTACTCAAATGCAATGTTAACTAACTTTAATAACAATAAAATGTGACAATTGTAGTGTGAAAGTGAAGAATTCAGAACACGTTCACACGACGCTCCAGTGACTTTTGGTGAAAAGGCCTTCCTCCTGCTACATAAACGAATCATTTGACGCAGCTTGTCACTCGGCAACTAATTAGCGAAAAATTAGTTTTGCCTAAAAAAAGGCTAGCACTAAAAGTTGTTTGATGCTGGAGGTAGGCTTGAATCAATTCAAGCTGGATTCTAGGACTCGGATATCATAAACACGAGTAGCATGAATAACCTCAGAGTCTGCAGGAACTAATTAGAACAGTTGCAACATTTGAGCTGAATTTCACACTTTTAAACATTCCTGTCGACCCTCATACAGAAAAGTTTTTACCCCAACGAACGTACTAAGCAAGAAATTCCTTCAATAATGAAAATATCCTCATTTCTTCAAATGATTCCCATCATTAACGGGCTCTGATGTTAGCCAAAGCAATCATCATTTTCGTGAACAGTCCAACCACGCTTGAGTGGAGCTAATGGCAACTTTTGTGCAATAACAAGACATTTCGCGTTGGCGACTCTCTCAGCCCTGTTGGCATGACGGGAACGAGTCAGACTAGTTTATTACTGTAGATACGAAGAGAAACTTGGTTTCGATGAATCTCCTGAGATAACATTGTTAGGGGGAACTTCA